TAGCCACTAGAACTGGGCTTAACTCCGACCCCACTACGTCCCACAAGAAAGTGCAGCCTAGGTCCCACGACTGCATGGAGCCTATCTACCACCCCCTAAATTATTCGACTGTCTGTTTGGGGGTAGATATTAGGATAGAACCCACGTCTGTGTTGTTTTCGCGAACTATGATCTCTTGTTATTTTTATTTCCTTGGAATCCGTACTTATAAGATGACAGTATTTATCATAAACTGCATTCATTGCCCATTGTGATTGGAATCCTACACAAGACTGACTCTGTCCTCGTAGAATATGCTGATGTCCTCGTAGAATATGCTGAAGCATACACTGGTCTAATTGTTTTTTTTTTTTTTTTCAGCTTGCGCTATCCAAGGCGTTCCTCTTTTTTTCAGTCTGCAACCGTAAACTCTATCTTGGGCTTCATGCAAGTGGTGTTTCCTGTCTGCGGTCGCTCTGAAGTATAACCTTGCTTGCAGCACTTTGAGCATGTTTCACATAGTTAGCAGTGCAAGTAAATTACAAATGCATGCTATGGGGTATATCTTGGATATAAGAGAATTACCCTCATGCTTCATTCTGTATGCGTTCATTTTTTATCAGATGACTCTTTTTTATGGCGAGCAATCACGTATGTAATCTATTATTATATTCTTTTACTGGAGTGTAAGGAATTTTTATTTTAAAAAGAGCACAGACTGAATATATTGCACACAGCAAACCACTTATGGCAATATAACATATCTTTAATAAAGAAAACTCTAGAACACTGCACGGAATTCTCAAACAATATATCACAATCACTAAAATGCACATGTATTCTTAAACGTTGTATTTGAAAGTAATTATTATTAATTTAAAGATAAATGCCGTTTTATCATTCTCTATGCTGTGATCTTTTCATTGTGACAGGCATAAAGATTCGTCTAAATCTGTTCTAAACACAATATCTCTATTTAATGCCAGTTAAATTAGTCGTATATCCTTTACATGACGTTGCAGTGCCAACCCCAGCATTTTTGTGGTTGCTGTATCTAGGTAAATATTACTTTCTGTAGTTTGCCATTGCTGCTGAATTGTCAGCTATCGGTACCACTGTCGAAACCAACGAAAGACAACCCGTTTTTTACTGGGATCGAATCCGGCATCCCGCGTTACGAAGCGCGTTCGCAAACCCTAACCAGGAATAATGTCAGTATGAAGACATAATGCATATTGTGAGCTGGAATTCGAAAGTTTCCTTAACCAAACTTGCGTTATTTATCATACAAACGTCCCCTGCATTCTTTGTTAAATGTGGGTTTTGGGGAATGAATTATTTGTCACTTTTGCCGTGCATCCATACTTCATGTTTTTTTTTATACTGTGAATGGACTAAGACAGTAACTTATTTCGAAAATAACCAGTTTCGCGGAATGTATGCACACACATGTAAAAAAAAAAAGTCGCCACGTACATCAAATCCCATGAAATTATTCTAAGAAGTAAAAGCAGTCGGCATTGTGTTGACTAAAATGGCAGTTGCAAACCGAAAGACACAGATCGTGAAAGGGAAAAGAAAAACGGTGCGAATCAAATGAAATGTCCCTTACCGTCACATTTGTAAAACTGGTGAACAAACAACTAGTCCCGGAGCAATCCAGAAATATGTGCACGCAGTAGATGCGTATTTCAGTTTCTTGATGTGCCAAAGCCAACAATCACCACCAGAAATTCAGTTTCGTGTTGACAGAAATAGACCCGCACAATAAGTTGGTTACTATACACAAGTAGAAATATTACAAAAGGTATTTTACCAACTCACACGTAAACCTGATACAGGCTATACTGAATACCACAACACAACCCCTGCACAGGAAAAACAGGGCTCACAGGGCTGCAACCAATCACTAAAAGTAACACAGACGGCGAAACCGTAGACTACCGTCCTTATGTGGAAACTGCATTAGCAAAGCTCTGTCGGAAGCAAAAAAAACTTCGAAGCTTTTCATTCTGCTAAGCCTTTCCTCCACTTTTGCCAGAATTAAAAAAAAAAAAAAAACATAATACACTAGTGTCTGTAAATTAGACACTTTTAAACAATTAGGTAATTTTTAGGACGACAGTCACATATATATCTACATTATTAACATGTGGAGAGGATAAATCATCGCATCATCATCGTTTTTTTTTTCTCGCACTGTTTTGCCATTTGGGCAACAAGAGTTGAAACAGTTGGTAGTGATCGCAAGATGAATTGAACATGCAGCTTCCATTTTTAATGAATGAATAATAAAGTCGGTTCATGTTATTCTTGGATGTCTACTTCCAATTGAGTTGACTCATTTACTTAAAGACAAATCCATGCCCGGTTCGCTAGCATAATTGTTTAAACCGGACTTCGTAGCAACCGGTTGATGAATTCCTTGTGGTCCGAGTTTCCGCCCGGGGGTAGGCAGAAAAGCTACATTTCTCCCAGATTTACGGTATCTATCACGGAATCAAGGCTGAAGGGTTGCGATATCCATAGTTCCCGATTTGATGCATTATTGCATTCAAAGGCTTTTTTCCTTCTTGCATTTGGTACAAAGCATTGCTCCCACATTCTACCTGAACACTCCTCTTTTAGTGGTTTAAATTACTGACTTTTCGCAGCATCTCACATGTTTGTGTGTGTGTGTGTGTGTGTGTATGTGTGTGTGTGTGTGTGTGTGTGTGTGTGTGTGTGCAAGTTTGGCTCTAAAAACACAGTGGTATTAAAACACTTACTTACTTCTTATTGGGTGTCTTATAATGGTATTATTATAAAACTAGTTTTTAGTGCTGCACATCTTATTCCCATTTCACAGACGATTGTTCCGTTCCATCGCTGGTTTTATTTTCAAAACACAAAATAAAAAAAATTAAAATATTTCAACCTTCCTTGATAATTAAATTCTGAGGTTGGTTTGCAACATTCTGTTGAAAGTTCATGACAGGCTTTCCGAAGACTAACGTAATCATAAAAATAAATATTGTTTATTTGATTAGTTAGACAAGTTAATTGATTTCATTAAATCATATATATATATATATATATATATATATATATATATATATATATATATATATATATATATATATATATATATATATATATATACTGAGGAAGAAAATTAAATTAATGTTTCCTGCTTCACGTTAAAACACACACAAAATTATTGATTATCTACACAACCAAAAGGGTGTACCCATATGAGTATAATTATGTCTTCCGTACATATTTCTTTAATGAAACGTTCCCTCTCAAACGTTAATAATGAATGGCCTCGTCAGTTCATCTTTTCTTAAGATGAATTATGTTTACTGCTTTGTCATAGTTTCCATTGCAATTTCCTTGTTGATGATACCGTTTCCGATGTGGTGTGGAGCCTGAATATGAATTGTAAAAGATGAGAACAATATGTTGACACTCAAATGTATAATGATAGTAATAACTGCAGGAAGATCATACACACTAGATTTCTTAGATTAGTGCATATGACAAAATGATATAAGAGTTTGTGGTATATTTTCTGAGCCATCATTCCCCCCCCCCCCAATCCCCCACGCTCCCAGCCCAGAAAACATTTCTCTGAGGTATTAGTGGGGGGGGGGGAGAACTAGCAGAATCTGTCTTAGAGACAAGTTAGTATCTCCTGCGTTTGTATAGCAAGTTATAGAGAAGACAAGTAAAGTGAGTGATCCTTTTCCACGTCTTCAGGCGAATAGGGCCTACACGATTAGAAATATTTTATAGACCAATCAGCACTCGGTAGGTGATGTGGTCACCATCAGACTGACCCCTTTTATTTTCTAGGACTTTACCTTGTACCCATTTAAGGCTAGGTTGACCTTGGAGCCAAAGTCATTTTTGAAAAAAAAATAAAATAAAAACCCGTCTCGGTCAGGTCTTGAACCCACGAACTTCGGATCAACAGACAAGCATCTAGACTCGCTTATATGTTTACAGAAATAAATCGATTCGTTGAGTCGTGATTATACTGTTCAGTTTTTATTTTGGCTTGTGTGCCCTCTTGTCTCTGCTTATTTCTTCTGCATCCATGAATAATTATCATCATCATGATCAATCTCGTGTTGTTGTTTTTCTGCCATTAAGCGCCGTCGGAAGGAGAGGGTGCGATCCAATGTTGATGGGTACGGCATGGCTATTGACATTCCGTATTGATGTAAGAGATCTTTAAGTTCATCCATGTTTTCCTAGGACGACCCCTTGCTTTCACATAAGATCTGTTCATGTGGAGTGGTTGCATTTTAACGCGACGATCGAAGCAGTTGATCTTCCCGTTTTTCAAAGAATTTGGTACACGTTGGTGTTTCCACCGTCTTTTTGATAACATCATTTCTCACTTTGTCTCGAATGGTTAATTTGGTGGCTTTTCTCGGGTGTATCATTTCAAACGTGTTAATTGTATGCAGGTTATCCTTTGATAATGTGCTTGTAGCACAATCCTAGGCTCTAGTGTGCCAGTCAGTAAACGCATTGTGTCTGTGTATAACACTTACATGCAGTTGTTTGAAAGAATATAATTCACAGTAATGTCTGATCGGTTAGGCCTCAAATGTGCAGACATTAATTGCATGAACCTGAGCGACAGAGATGAAAGGAACTGATCAGGCATTCAACAGCAGCTGATGGCATATTGATGTATCATGTTGTTTAACTTGATAATTGATGATGAAGATTATCACTTACATATTATATTTATATTACTGATACATATGATTTTTTTTTTCATCTGTATTCTTGTATGTGAGACCCTTTCTAATGTTATTATTATTACTATTATTTTTCATTGCAAGTTGCGTTGATAATTAGGTTCGTGTGACGCATTTAAAAAAAAAAAAAAAAAACTTAACACATATTAAATTATTGTCAGTGAAAGACATAAGAAAACAATCAACAGGAAGAATATGAATCACAAATTTATGTAAACGTCACAAACCTGGCTTTGCTGATGTATAAGCACATGAATCAAGGCGTCAGTGGAAATGTAATTCCAGAAGTAAATATACCGCAAGCAGAAATATCCAACCTGCGACACACACATATACATGTTCAGGTCTGTCTAAACGGGTAGTAGAACTGTCTGCCCTCCATACGAAACATAATTACAAAGGACAAAATAAATGTTGTGGCTAGAAAACCTTCATACGCTTACAACACCCGTGGCAATGACACATCTTCATAAAATACTACATCAAAGAAACCTTTTTCAGAGAGGCTACTCAAAATGTCAACACATAACTGAAAGACTGAAGCTGCTTAAGACGCTTCATTAGATGTCAACCGTACAGACAACATCACTTCTCTAACAGCATTAGAGTCGCTCTGTGTGTGTGTGTGTGTGTGTGTGTGTGTGAGAGAGAGAGAGAGAGAGAGAGAGAAACAGAGAGAGAGAGAAGAGAGAGAGAACATGAGAGAGAGAGAGAGAGAGGGAGAAAGAAAAAGAGAGAAATAGAGGGAGGGAGAAAGAGAATGAGAGAGGGACAGCGAACGAAAGAACGAACAAAGGAATAAACGGTTTTTTTTTCAGTGGTCACAAACTGGACACGCAGGCTCGTCTTACATTCGATCCTTCAAGACACTCGTATTTCATACATCGTATATTTACAAATTATATTGTCCTCCTAAGTATATGAAAATGGTTTGAGTATAGTGGTAAACACATTACGAAAGCATCGATGGCAAAAACATGATTTTAACATGAAAATAGGTGTGTACACACA